CGTATCCTCCGGATAGTCCCGCTGAGACACATGAAAATCCGTCTACATCAGCTAGACCGATAACTTCTATTGTCCAACTGGGTGCTGTAAGGTCTACAGCTAAGTCACCCGTGGCTTGGCGTCAGAACGGTGAGACTCGAAAATCGAATCAGACTCCGACCGAAAAGATAGGTAGTACAGTTCCGTTTAGGGGTACGACGCCTTCTCTTACATCTAACATGCATCTTCAGCCCAGCACGTCTACAAACCCCGCAGCTCCAATTATATCCCCGAATAATTCTCTGTCCTGCGTACCGGTTACTTATCAAAGCCCTATTATATATCCAGCAAATAATTCATACATGAATTGCCCCAACCTAGTTCAGGCTTCCCACCACTTAAGGCCAATTGCGCTCAGGTACGTCAACCTATCTCCTTTGACTTCCAATCTAGACCTGGTTTCCCACCATTTCATTCTTTTAGTGGCCTACCCTCACCCATTAGCCCCTACTTTCCTTCTAGCCTCCCTCCTCCTCCTCCTCCTCCTCCTCCCCTTCCTCCATTATTTAACTACCAACAAGTCTATCCATGTTCTAACTCCCCTAGCATTCCAATGTTTCAAAACTATATCCCCACCTCCTTTAGGTCTCATACTCAACCTTCTCTTGCTGACCCTCCGTACGTCAATAACTCTAAATTAACTGGTACTTATTCTCCAAGTGTCATTAATTCGCAGCTTACATATCCGCCTCCATTTTTTTAAAATACCGTCGAAAATAGCATGGCCGTTCGAAACACATTAGATATTACATTATTGAATGTCAGGTCTGTTATAAACAAGATGGCCCAAATCAGAGCCATTGCTCTGGAAATGACGCCTGACATTATATGTGTAACAGAATCTTGGACACATTCTCTAATTCCTGACTCTGCCCTTCTCATAGATGACTTCGATTTTTACCGCCAAGACCGCACGACTAGGCGTGGGGGTGGTTGTCTTCTTTATCTTAAATCCTACCTAAAGCACTCTCCCTATTACTTGGATGTTTCCTCATTCACGGGAAACTTCTGCTTTGCATCCGTTATTCTCTCGCCGCAAAGAAAGGCAATCATTGGCTGTATCTACAATCCCCCAAATTCTTTAGCCAGTGATGATTCACAACTATGTGAAATCTTTAAATTAATTTCGGAAGCTGCTTTCGATGTTAAAATAATCACTGGGGATTTTAACCTTCCTGAAATTGACTGGGTCTCCAATAGCTGCCCACCCCGATTCCAGCCCTTTCAAGATATTGTCAATTTTTTCTAATTGGTCCCAACTGGTGCGCTCTCCAACAAGAGATAATCACGTTTTAGATCTAATCTTTACCAATGACATTACTCCTTTTTGTTTTGCTTTAAAAAAGGATCTCTTTGACAGTGACCACGTATTAATTCATTTTTGCCTCCCGCTTGCCTTTTCAAAAAAGACAAGCGCCGTTCAGACTTTCATGAACTACGACTGCGTAGATAGCGACTTAATAAATAACTATATGAGATCCTTGGATTGGTGTGGCTTCCTCACTTGTAGCGATGTAACCATTCTTCGTGATGTCATGTCCAATGTTTCCAAGGTCATTCTAGAGTTTGTGCCGCGTAGAGATCTCAAGCCTAATTCTTCAGATTCTCTTCTTCGTCATTTTCTTCAGAACAGACTAAAAAAGTTGAGGCGACAACTGCGTGACCAATCCACTAGTTCCTTATCAGTTCATCTTAGAATCACAGAGATCTTTGAGATGGCCTCAAGGATGCGCAAAGCGCGCGACAGGCAAAGAGAATCAATTGCTCTCAGTGGTTCGAACCCTGGCAAATCCGTCGCTAACATCTTCCGTCATCGGTCCTCCTCTAAGCGTGGTCATGAACTTCCACCCATGCTAAATGATAACAAAGTCTTCCTCACCGATGATACTGGCAAGGCGGAGTTGTTTAGTGCTTTCTTTGCAAAACACCTTGCTACCGAGTCCGATCCGGTCCCTTTCTTTCGATCACTTTCAGATAGGACACTTAGTACAATTGATGTCAGTGGTTGTTATTTACTTTGATCTTAGCAAAGCCCTTGACAAGGTGCCCCAGAGACGTCTTTTAGTAAATTGGAAGCTCTCGGCATCCGGCCGCCTCTACTCGACTTCATCAGGTCCTATCTGTCCAACCGATATCAGAAAGTCATGGTCGGTAATAACTACTCGACAACCCACTCGATCACGAGTGGCGTACTTCAAGGAACGGTCCTGGGTCCGCTACTCTTTCTTCTGTACATCAATGATATTTCGACTGAACTCGAAAATTCGCAAACTTTTACTTATGCCGATGACCTCAAGTGTGTTTACTCATACTCTAAGGACACCGCAAATGTTTATGTTGAAAAAAATTTATGCCGATTTACTACGCTTAAGCAGATGGAGTTCGACATGGCAGATGGAGTTTTCATCATCCAAGTGTAGTTTCATGTCTTTTGGTCCTACCAAACTTCCTGGTCCCATAATTTTTCAGAATAACCCACTCTCAGAATGCCTCACCATAAAGGACCTAGGTCTAAGTTATACAAACAAACTTGCTTAATTACCTCATGCAGATAGAATATATGCCAAAGCCACGCAGATATGTGGATTCATATCGCATAATTTTTTCCTTCCGGAAATGAAGCTAAGACTTTATCAAATGTTTGTTCTTCCAGTCCTCGAATATTGCTGTCCTTTCTTCGGTTTAATGAACGCCTCTGACCGTAATAAAATCGAAAATGTTCAGAGGGTTTTCACTCGGAAACTGTTCTCTCAAGCTTCGTCCAGTATTTCTTATACTCAGAGATGTCAGCTGGCGAACATGAAGTTTTTGTGTGTTAGAAGACTCGAAGCTGGCCTTTGCTTCCTTTTTCGCATCAACTCTAGCTCCAGTCTTCCGCACATTGACACTCTCACTCCGAGAGATCGGTCTTATGCCACGCGCAACTCCTGCATGGTGATTCCGCCGCCTCTTTGTACTACATCTAAGCGCTCCCTCTTCTTTGCTTCCAAATATGCCTTCCTTTGGAATAATCTTCCGCCTGAAATTAGATTATCGCCTAAGTTACTGGTATTCAAGTCGAAATTGCGCAAACATCTTACACCGGAAAGCATAAAGGCACTGTTAACGGTCGCATTTCCGAACACTCAGATTCTTGACTTCGAGAAGGGTCCTCCTGGGATTTAGTGGTAGATCTAGTGGTAACTCTTAATTATATCATTAGAAACCCCTGTTTTGCATTGGTTTCTAAATCCACTGCTATCACTCCTCCCCCATAGCAACAATTTTCGCGGTTTTTGATGTCACCTCCCGCATTCCGACCTCATGCGGTCTGTCGACACTCACGGCGGAACCCTCAGTCTTCACTGTTTACTAGTAGTTCGGTCGTACCTCCCTTCCTCACTGCTCGGCTGAGCTCGAAGCGTGCTGTGGCCGATCGCATCTCGGTTCCTCTCGTCTGGCCTCTTTGACGCGGCGTACCAATCAGGCCCAGGCGATCTCAATTGTGAATCCCGTATACAATGCCATTTGCAAGCCACTCCTGTCTGACCCTCATTCGTACCCATCAAGGCTGACATTTATTGCTACCCTGACGATGACCGACAACATTCCGTTATATACCGCCACCTACAGGCCAGTCCTGCTCGCTTTTTTCTGTTATTATTTAAAGAGGGTTTTTTTCTCCTGTAACATTAATCCAACCATTTTGAACTTTTTCTAAGGAGTTTTTTTTCACCCCTCACTCATCATGTTTCTCAATGGACTTCTACTTTAGAAACTAGGAATTGCATTTTGTAAAGATTCGGCCTACCTCGTCTAAAACTCGCATGCAAATTTATTTTAACTTGCTTTGATGGGACCCCGACGGGTCTTTAATAAAAATTATCTATCTATCTATCTATATATGCAATGGCCTTTTATACCAGTAGGCTCCAAAAGGAATTTCAGTGACCAGTAGTTGCTTAGGGCATTAATGAACTTTTCCACAGCCATCGTCGCACTGACCCACGGAGACCAAAATGGATACCGTTTTTCGAGTAGTACAACATACTAAAAAGAGCGCTCACAAACACATCGGGAAAAAATGACCGGAATTTCCAGCGTCTCATATGTCAACCAGTCGCGTTATTTCGAGACACCACAATTCGTCGCACCAAACATCTATCCGTCAATGCAGTTTTGTCGCGTTGCTGCGCGGGGCCAATGATTAAAAATCGTAGCTTGTTGTTAAGAGGCCAACACCGCCAGCAAATTACAAACCAATAAATGTTCGGTGGCGGTAAGGGAATAGGGTCAAGTAATTTCTATAATGCCCATTTTGTTTTCCATCCTTCCTTCCGTTCATGTGCCAAACCGAATGGACTAACACGTCACCGCTCCCGCTGTGAACCCTTTCAAAGCAGTCAAAATTCAGCGAGGATTCAAACCCGTGCATTATTTTGAGAACACAAAAATAGTAATGGTGAATGATAGACGCGAACTCCCATCAATCGTAGAGAATAAAGTTTCAAGTTCATTTATAGACCACCCCATATCATTTGCGTTTCGCAATTTCTGACTGCTCCATGCTTGTTGGTATTTATTCATGCACATTGTATCGGTTCATCAATGTGAGTTTCACGTTGTCAGATCCACAACTCTTTTCTGCAGTCTAAATAACAGTACTCCTGTCGCACCGCTGTTAACCTTCCACTCTTCCTACCTACTAACTTGTCTGCCCTTAATCTTCTGTTTCTACCGTGTATTCAATAGTTTAGATGGTATGCGCAATGTCCTCCGATCATTTAACAATAAAACCATCGTCGTAAACTTGAACTTCATGCATTTGGAGATCTTTTCTGAGAATAAACAATAACTCCAGCCTTCTCCGGTTCCACGAAAACCATGAGTTTACACCTCCGTTTAACTGAACCGGCATTCACGCTCCACATCTTTTACTAAACTAAAATTTAGCCACATCGCACAATTGGGCCGCCCGGGAAATGACCACCCCTGATTTAGGAGGGGGTGACGAGAAGTCCCAGTGTGCGTCCGACCTTTGGTCACACTGTTGCCCTTACGCTTTTTTCTCCTTTTCCGAGTGCAAGCTGTCCAACAGGTTTGCTTCCATCTCATGTTACTGCCACGAGTCCCTTTATAGCTTCTAGTGATAGATAATCGATTATCAACTATTCGCTTGACGAATTCATCTATATTATGTCCCCCTAAGCATGTTAGGGACAAAGTCTAACGAGATAGGGTGTGATTAATACGGTTGTATACCAGCTGGTTTCGAAATTCCTTTTTCAGTAATTGGACATTTAAATTACGAAACGGCAGCCGACCGTATTTGATGGTCAAGCGTGTTCGTCGGCAGCTGAGAAGCTACCGGTCCCGAAGTTTTAGCCTGCTGTAGAATCATTGATTCCAACAGCCGCTGACGGCCGAGTAGTTTGCGGACTTTTTCCATCAGAATGTCCAGCTGACTAGTCAGCTTATTATAAAACTCAAATTAGGCGTCGTCGCACGGGAATACCGTCAGATTTTTTTCGTCTTCTATCTTAGGTTCAGGTACCTTCCCTTCGAGATATCGAAGTAGGTTGTAAGGATTTAGCGTCCGATTTCCCGAAAGTGTCATCTTAAAATGGTGGGGGATATTCCTTCTTATTACTTCCGCTTAAGTCTACAACAAGATTTGACCAGAGTTTGTCGAGAAAAACTGCCCTCTTTTTGTCAATGAAATTAAGATTCCGGACCGAAAAAATACGCACGTGTTCATTCTGTACGACCCCCGTTGAAGTTAGTCGCAGGATTTACAAGTAATTCCACTGTACATGCACAGAAGTCCTGCTCTTCTTTAAGTGACCTTTACGCTAACGTCGAACTTGGACAACCGTCTATTTGTGATGAGACGATTCCGTAGGCTGTTTCGGATGCCTACCTGTAAATAACTCCACCTGCAAACCACGCTCTCGTGGACTGCTGCTAAGGCACCCAAAAATCCTTACTAGCCGAATGGCGTTTCCGCATTCTTCGAGTGCTGCCGGCTGCCTGCTGTAGTGAACGCTTCTATTCGTGCCGCTTGTGCCAACTGCGCCTACCATAGAGGGCACCACGAATCCTCTAGACGTCCTCCCTGTTCAAGCTCCCCAGCTTCGTGATGCTCTCGTTTCGCACCGTCGGAATCCTTCTATTCTCGCATCCTGAGGTCTCCCTTGCAGTTTTAGGCCTGTCCCAACGACGGTTTCTGCTGGTACTGCCACACCTATGGGTTCATTGCGGTTACTGCCATTCTCCATGCCATTACCAGAAATCCTTCTAGCCAACAAAGACGACAAACTTGGACGCCCCTGCGGACAACACCTGAGGGCTGCCGCTAAGACACTATAAGTCATTACTTGCCGAGCAACGTTTCCGTATTCTTTACGCTTCTCTTGTTTGGTCTCAAGTCAGGAGCCTGGTCTTCGCATCTCGACGTTAGCACGGAATTTCCCCAAAGTCTACTTCCAAGCGGTACAAATTGTCAATTTATTACACCGCATGCCATCTGCAAAGCGCCTTCAAGGAATCCATCTCCGCACTGACTTACAGTACAGGATTGCTGCGACCGAGGGTGCTAAAGGAAGCACACAGGGTAGTGTATCACGGATAACTTCTGGTGTGGAATAGGTTGAATAGAGCTATTAGACATTCTATCGCCTTAGTCCGGATGAACAACACAGAATAGGGCTTAGACGGACACAAAATATGTGCTAATAAAAGAAAGTAATTTTATAAGCAGAGAAACAGCTGATGTACGAGAAATGCATCACGGGAATGGTCCGTATAGATAGGTGACACCGTTATGACAGCTTAGCCGTTGGAGTGCAACCCTAGGAGCAACCGCAGCAGAGGGCCATGAAAGGTACTGATGTGGAGGGTGGGAGAGATAAGTTACGGCGGATTTTGTGGGAGGAAGGTCGGCAGTTGTGAAGAAAGTGGCACCGGCCATCTTCAACAGCACGCGGCTACACTACCTCCATCCAGGGTTTACACGAAAATTCTCTTCAATCCGTTCGAACAACTGTCCAATTCGTTGTACGCTGTAAGACTGACGGTGTTTACCCGGATTTCTTTCAACTCAGCCGCCGCCGCAATCTTCAAAGACATACTTTTTAAGCCTTGAGAGTTTTAAGTGAAGACATCTAGGCGTGCCTGAACTTCTGCTCGCCGTCTACTAACTCCGAGAATGCCCCATCTGGGGATAATAGCCTTCTGGTGTCCTTTTTAAGAAGGCTTGTAAGGATCCTGCTCCAGGCGTCTCCAATTATGTGACCCCCCTGCCTGGCGTATGCACTCATGTGCATACAGGCAGCAGTTGAGTCGCCTACTATTGCGATACTATAAAGTAACGCTCACACGATTTTGCGGTCGCACGTTTTGCACGTATTTGTGTCCACCTTCGGTCGCACAGATACTTTCACGGACTTAGCTTCCAATTAGTCAAGCAGTTAGCTAGAGATCGCAGGTAATCTATCTACGAGTACCTGACGATGCGAATTAGCAATTGTCCGAATGATCCTATTTGAAGTGGTCTTGTTCATGCCGCTTTATTGCCAGTGTGCATCTAGAGTGAAGGTATGACGTAAGTGTCAGTTTCTCGAAAACGGTTATCTATTCAGTCCCCGTCATTTGTCTTCTGCCCTGCGCAGCACATCCAATTCCGACTTATTATTTGACTATCTGAACACTTAATAAGTGTTTCTGGTAGCTTTGACTAATCAATGTGGTCTAAATGTAAAAAAAATTGGCGGCGTTTCCCCTGGTGTCGTGGATTCGAGTCCAACCCAGGCCGCCGGTTCTTCCACAATCGGATCAAACGAAGTATCCAACGAAGTTGCCTTTGACGGGCATTAGTAACACATCGTCTAGGTTTTTAAGTCTCATTACTCGTGAGTTACCTGGAGACGCAAAAAATAGAGATCTATGCAAAAGCAGTTTTAAAAGGCGTAACGAGTTCTAGATCCCACAGCCAGCCGTCTTTCTTCGTTATGCAGTCTCTCAACAGTATTTCCGATGCAGTTCTCCGAATGAACTATATGCTCATTATCTGCCGTGGTCGCTTACCTGGCTGATTGAGGTTTTGACGAGAATGAAGCAGAAAGAGTTCTTCCGGACATAATGTACATTTAGTGAAAATTTCCTCTCTGGAAGATAAGTCTAAAACACTCATTTATAGGCATTTAAGGTAATTTGTACTGCAGTGCGATGAGGGCGAATCGGGAAGGTACAGTTATCGCGCCTGTGCACATTTACACCACGTTCACGCTCTGTCACTCCCGGCTTTTACTCATCAGCCACTCGTCCTGACAGCCAGCAAACACGATCGGCCTCTATCGTCACATCCTCCTCGCAGTAAATAATAATGTGAATACAAGCATACCATTCCTATTTTTGTGGGCGAAGGGATACATGTCTGCTAAACCAGCAAACGCCGAAGTCCACATTCCGTATAAGCAACCCCGACCTAAGCTTGAACATTCGTATAGGACTGTTGCTGGGAGACGAGACCATCTGGAGTACCCAGTTCGCTGTAGATGTAAGATTTTTTGACTTCCACTAACAGTTCATTATCAAGGCGGCATTTAGGTCCTGCTGAAAAGGCCTACGACAAACGCTTCATCACTCAAAGAAATTTTGAGAACACATTCGGACACCTGCGTACATTTGCCATGCATTTCATTTAGCCTGGAATACTGCGTACCTGCTAGTCCTCCCTATGTTGTCCGTAATGCAGAGGTTTCAGAATAATTACTGCGTCTGGCAACCTATCTTCCCGCATATTTCTGAATTTGCTGTCTATAGGACGCCCTAGAAAGCTCTACCGCATAACCAGGATTGTGAAATCAAATAGGATAAGTGGCGTACGAGTAAACCTGATTTCACGTCGCCATTCACAAAATCGCCACGGCTATCATCGTAGGTTACTCAGACCTTGAGGATGTATATCAGCTGACAGGTATCGCTCTCGCCAAACGTTGCGGGTGCCCTTGCCTCCTATCTTGTCAGCACATCGAGTTTTCTTGAAGTTAAATGTAATCTATTAGAACTAATGAAACTGTAGACTCATGAGTAGCGCTACACCTCGTCTGGCCTTAAGTTGACTGAACCTCATTTTAATACAAAAATCCGACCTGATTGTCGCCTTAACAAATCATTTTTTATTTATCCCAATAAGGCAGATAGTTTCACACTTAACCAGGTACTATTTCTTGTTAGAGCGTGTATTTTTTCCTTTCATGAGTCGATGTCTGAGTCCGAAGATTGCATAGGAGCGTTCTGAGCGCGTTTTGGCGATTTTGTGGGTGAACTGTATGCAGCCGTACTCGGTTTGCTGAACCGCACATTAGAACGGGAGCATTTGGAGAGTATGTCGCCATACTACTTCTGAAGATCGAGGCTGTCGGCAAATTAATTCTTAGCTCGCATGTGTTTTGTCCTTCCCATTTTGTTTGTTGCGCAATCGGCCCACAAAAGACTCGTCAAATATTTCAAAATTCGGAAATTGAAAAGTGCACGCAACCCCCGATATCTCTTGTCTAGACTTTTCGAGCAGCTTACTTTATGAAGACAAAAAATGTATAGGGTCGAAGTGACTTCTAACCCACAGTTTGACGAGAGGACCAGTTTTATTTCCGCCTCCCACCCCTTCCCCACCATCCTAATTATTATTAATTTTCCTTTTCCCTTTAGTAAATGGAGGCCCTTTGGAGGATTTTTCAACTATTTGTAACGTTAAGAGGACGGATTATTTGAGTTGGGATGAATATTTCATGTCGTTAGCCTTCCTCTCTGCTATGAGGAGTAAAGATCCAATTACACAGGTATGATTTTAGTTTTTGTATGCATTAAAACGAGGTCGGAGTGTGCATCATAAATTCTGAAAATAAGATAGTCTCCGTTGGTTATAACGGTATGCCAATAGGTTTATCGGACGATGAAATGCCGTGGACTAAGGGTTTTGACGATCCCCTTCAAAACAAGCATCTGTATGGTAAGTCATTCAAGTATATTTAAATTTCAAGTTTGCCATGCTGAGCTTAACGCAGTGTTAAACAAAAACTCGGCTGATGTGAAAAACTGCACACTGTATTCCACTCTCTTTCCATGTAATGAATGTGCGAAAGTTATTATTCAATCTGGAATTAAGGAGGTGGTCTACTTTGGCGAAAAGAAGGTTAGTAAACCGCAAAACGATGCTGCCAAAATCATGTTTGCCAAGGCTGGTGTGAAAACGACGTACGTCCTACACTTAATCGCATTCCTTAATTTATTCCGCTTTTCTCTTTTTGGAACAGTCATTGCTATTTATCAAATGACTATCAGCAGTATGCCGTCAGCAAACGTTTTTCCGCCTTAATACTCTCCTCTAGTCCGTTTAACAAGACGGGACGCACAGTGGCTATCAATCTCAGTTAATGAAGTGCCAACGCAAAAAAACGTTTCCGCGCCGAAGGCATATGGGACTTGTGCAACTCGGTTCTGTAACTATTATTTTAATGACCCTCGGATTTTAAATAAGTGGCAGCCAAGATCGACCCTCCATCGTGCCGTCAAGCCTCATTCCCACACAAACTTGTCTCCGCATTTTTGTGGTTACTGCGCCTTCCCGCTGCCCATTTTTTACAATAACCACGATTCGAATTGAAAAATAATGACGAGTTGCGCGAAGTTGTCTCTTTATTCTCATGTACAAGTAGGTGTGGTCTGGTGTTACGAAGGTTATAAAAGTGATTGTAATCTTCGATTAGAATAACCTTTTTGTCGGGGTTTTCCACAGCAGTTGTTTAAAGTAACAAGTCGTCACCACGCGAAAAGATTATGGGGACCGAACGTCAACTGCGAAAGACAACTCTCCTGAACGAAAGTCAAAGTCGGCTGAAACGTCCAACAGACGGAGGGACTCCGATTTAATCCTTTCTTTCAGCTCCTCTGAAAAAATGAAGACGCCACTTTGTGGTCCATGCTGGCACCATTCAACTTCTTCTTCCACTTTTACCGGACTACTTGGACCGGCAACAGCTCTCCAGGACTCTGTCTCCGAATGTGTCAGCCATTCGGCCCAAAAAGCAACAGCATTTACAGCGGGACTGGACAAGCTGATTTTACAGTCCTGTCTGATAATGCACGATTTACAGTCGGGAGGAACAGGACCTCTCCTAGAGATTACTGGGGGTATTTGCAAGTCAATATCAAAGGCAACCTCTGGCTCGGAACGTGCTTTACCTGTGTACTCCCACAGAGGCTGAGGCTCCACCGGTGCATCCGTATTACGGGCGGCAGAGAGGACCAGTCTGTCAAATTCGCGTAAATCAAAGCCCTCGCAATTACTTCCCACTGGGGCACGAATTTTCCACAGGTGGTCAAAATCCATTGCAACAGCCCAGACGCGTAGACGCGTGGGGGAAAGTAACTTAAGAGGTACTTGTGGGAGTTTCGACGCAATCTGTCCCGAAAGGTACCAAAAGTTAAGTGCGCTCCATGGGAGAATGCCTGCGAGGACGTAAGGTTCTCCAAGCACGCAAACCTCCAAAGCCGTCGACTTGACCGACAGCTCGAGAATGACGTTCTTCAGGTCGTCGAAATTCTGAATCACATCAATCTTGGCAGAAACAGCTTCGGGGAGTTCGGAGTAGACGGCCTTCATTAGTCGTGCCGACAGCGGCGAGCACTCGTAATGGAGAAAGCGGATAGACTTAGACGCAAAGTTGGGTGACGCACACACAGAGTCAATGATTGTCAATGGAACTGTCGACGCATCTGCTAGCATGACTAGGGCCACAGTATCTACATCACGTTCGTAAAGGTATCTTGACACTCTGTCAGCGAATTCGCTTTTGAACTCCTGAAATTCACCAGAATTAAGTTCAGCTATTCGAGAACGTGGCCAGGCAACATGTGCACCGCACGTACATACCGGACGCTCTATCGCAGTAGGTTGGGTAGATTGAACTGGCACAATGTCAAACCACATGGAGACAGCATCATGGGCAAAGTCCACCGCAAACGCCTCTCCACGGTTAAGTTTCAAAGCGCGTCTAGGGAAGTAGATGGCCTGCATCCAGTGGTCCCGCCAGGCCGTTGTCTCGCCTGCCCATGAAGGGGCAGTCGAGATCGGTGCTACCGTTCCTGACGGCTCCATTTGCAGGTCCCACCAAACAACTATGGCGTGTGCGGTCCCGTCGATTCTTGCCTTTCCTGAAGTTAGAATTAGAGATGTTGGTTAGAGCAGACATAGGTGCGGTGCTGGAGCAATATAGTCCTAGTCTTTCACTTTGCTTCGGCAAACTTGACAGCAGTTTCGTACTTACACGAGGGCCTCAACATAAATGTCTGCATCCCTAAATATTAGCGCCGCGTAAACAAAGACAGATACGTTGTGTATGCCGGCGTTTCCTAGACAGCTTAGTGGACTTGACTTCCACCAAACGTAAAGTCTAAAGCTCGTGCTGACGGCCGTTCCTAGAAAACGTCCTCGCACTCCTGGAGGGGACGTGAGTTAAACCGATTGACACGGGCAAAATTAAGTTGCGTTCGCTGACAAACGTGAGACCGGCTGTGGACCGCCAGGTCATGAGAACAGTCAGCCGAGGACAACACATGTGAGTTGACTCTGAGATGCGCTAAGCTGGCCCTGAACATAACTAAATGGTTTACGGGGCAAGAACAGAAGACAACCAACAACCGGGCTTAATTACTAAGTGGGAATAATTAAATCATCCTTGATGACTATGTCGAATAAGAGGTCTTTTAAGTCAGAAACGGGCGCCTTAGGGGACACGCTTACCAGCTGTGCGACTGATCGAGATTCGTTTACCTTATTTTCCATAGTTTGCTATAATAACGCGTTCTAGTTACCTGGAATCGCACAAGCTATGCCAGACTCAGTATCGAATCGCTGGGATAGTGAAAACTAGTAATTTACCAGTGGAAAGCGGTATATTCAAGAACCTTGAGTAAGACAGCAAAGACTTGCCAATTAAATTGGTTCGTGGTGTCCTTTGGCGCATGGATAGATCTGTCATTTACACAGCGCGACTATTACTGGTAATTACTAATCCAGAGCACTACCAACGGATATGAGGGACGCTGTAACGGCCAAAACTGACTTGTTTGCCATCGTCTGCAAACAGTATTCTAACGTCAGGAGTTTTCCGCCTTGTCCATGAGCACTGGTCTAGAACCCCTACGAGTCGTCATACGACGGTGAAAAGTTAGAAATAGGAATTACTAACGAAGACGAAGAACGACCACTCTGGGCTTGTTTGTCGTGTAGAAGGCAGAAGACCGCCGGCTGAGTTAAGCCCTACAATGGGCAAAGTGGCCCATTAATATATCTGATCGGGGATGGTCACAGAGCCTGATAACTCACTTCAACTCCACCGGATGACTACATGCGAACAGGCTGGGGTTAGAATCGGAAGGCAAACACTGAGAGCTGAGAAATGGCTTTGGCCGGTCACAAAACAAGTGCCCAGAGGGTTAGCTTTGACGTTAAAACCGCTGAACGAGTCGAACATGCTGCCCATTGATTGCAGCATCTGAGTCCTGGAACAATAAGTACAAAGGGGAATACACTCAGTGAACTTGGGGTAATAATATTTATGAGCAAGACAGAAAACAAGCTCACCAAGTATGCGTTTGGAGTCGCGCAACATTACATTTGAGGAAGGCGGCGAGAAGATAAATTCATGGAACTGTAAAGGTGTGTCCAGGAGACACTTAACGTATCCCCTCCTCTGACCTTCATTTTGTCCAGTTTCATTAAAAACAAGCAACTGGGAAGCTTGAATATCAAAGACTGATGCGCAGCCGGAACAGTCCTGTACCGATCGTGTGGGAAAGATGGAAGTCTGGCGATGCAGCACGCCAGATTCTTGGGTCGGCGCCGGGTGTATTTTGTGATGAGACCAAAGAAATGGTGAGTCCAAAACCTATTAAAATCAGGCAGCGAAGTTAAAACAAAACTAACCCTAAACATATTCACATCAGGAAACAACACCTTACCTGCATGAACATACGGGCCTTGCATGGAATCAAAACGGCATCCGGGGTCAGTAGGTGGTCGGCAGCATGCCTATACGTCTCCAGGGCCCCCTCACCAATCAATTCGGTGTCAAGGAGTTCGGCGACAAGGACGTTCGCACGCTGTTCCATGTCATGTCCGATCACCAGGTCAGTGGAGCGTTTCCCAATCACGCGAACATGATGTTGTAGACCATTGGCCCGGATAACTCGTCTCGCACACTTGGCCATAGGAGAGAAGGCCTCGCAGGCGGTGACAGTATCTGCGCCTGCTCGAGCCGCCATCATGGCAAGGATGCCCGTGCCCGTTCCGATGTCAAGAACGTGAATCAAGCGATTAGGGTCGGTGGATTTCATGCCGCGTATGACGTGACAGATAGCCTCATGGTATTTTCGGTTACGATCAGAGTCGTGCAGCATGTCCGCATAGGCGGAACGGGCAATCTCCTGTTCAAAAGCGTAGTCCATATCAACGAGATTCCACTGCACAGAGCCCGTAATGGGACTGACCTGACATACGAATGACCCATTGATGGACTTTCCGTCACCTTGTGTCATAACGTTAAACACGCTAGCACCTCGAAGGCGGCAGACCACGAAACTAGGAAGTAAGATTATAAGGCTCATTAATGTCGAAATAAGCAGTAGAAGAGATCAGTACGCACACACGCAAGAGATTGCAATATGAAATGATGGGCCAAATCAGAGACCAATGCGACGATAGCGAACTGTTGGTGGAAAACGTGCACGTACCTAACACAAAAAGAAGACCCTGCATAAATGTGGACAAGGATCATAAATGCTAGATTTTGACAGCACAACCTATTGGCCTCTACCTCCAAGTTATTCGGAGAACAGAAGAAAGTTCCATTAATTTAGTACCTACAAAATCTAAAGTAAAAATGGTCGCGGGGCCCAAGGGCTCCAGAAGCGATACAGAAAGAGATACAGTGGGGCTGCCTTTTACTTCTCTGTAAGCGTCCATTTTTCTTGGCCGATGGTTGAGATTGCTAAATTATGTGTAAACCAGTCTATCCAAAAAGCATGGTCGAGTTTCCAGGCGCGTTCTTTTCAAAGTCATGAAGTCCAACTTATGCGGTTAGGAGTGGTCTCTAATGGGTGGACTAAGACAGTGGTAGTCCTCTTTGCGTGTAACTGCTTAAGTAGCATTCAGCTTCCCGCCGGTACAACTCTCTTCAATAGCTATGAAAGACTGTCACAGCGTCCCTAAACAGCAACAAACCCTTCACAAGTGATTACGGTAGATGATTCTCGCAAATGAATAGAAAAAGTACTCTTCGAGACTGAAAGATCCCGGCTTCAAAATAAGGAAATGCTGGACATAGCAACTAATATCCATCTTGTAAAGAATACCATTTGATCAGTAAACTTCC